CATGTTGAAAATCTCCCCTGCCACTCAGCCTGCCTGCCCACCTTCCCCCCAACCCCCAGGTATCTGTGGGAAGATGCCCAAGGTCCCCAACACTTGATCTCACAGTTTCCCCTCCAAATTTAACGTTCTCCATCCACACTACCCCCACTCGGGCTTCCGCTCCTTCCCGGCATTGTTTTTGGTGGTCTCTGTCCCGGGGGGGGGGGGGCTCTCTTTCCTCACTGGGGCTCTGAGGAACAACTCCCACCCACCCTTTGAGGCCCTCCTTCAAAGTCCCCTGTTAAACAATGTACCACGTTCTGGGTTACGAGCTCTCCGCACACGGGCACTCCTCCATCTCCCCTGGCACGGAATTCACTCACCCACTGCCACTGTCAGCTTAGTTAGCCCTGTGTGCCCCTAGGAGTCCCACCCCTGGCTTCTCCACCCCTAGAACTACTGTCCAGCTCAGGGCACCCCCTCTTTGTGTCTGTGTGTTGTGCGCAGGCGTCCATGTGTGCATGCGTGGAGGCCAGAGGCAGACAGACACTGGGTGTATTCTTCCATCGATCTCCTCGTTATTCTTTAAATTTATGTATTTATGTATTTAATGTGATTTAGTGTGTGTGTGTGAGAGAGAGAGAGAGAGAGTGTGTGTGTGTGTGTGTGTGTGTGTGTGTGCATAAGTGTGCAAGTGTGCCACACCGCACACCTGGAGGTCTGGGGACAGCTTTTATCTGCAGAGCCAGCTCATCAGCCCTCCACCTTATTTTGGGGGGACAGGGTCTCTCACTGAATCTGGAGCTTAGCGATTGACTAGAGTGGCTGGCCAGGGAGCACTCCCCCCCCCCCCAGGATTTGCCAGTGCCTGCTTCCCCACACTGGAGTTACCTGGCTTTTTCCATGTGCTCTGGGCATCAGAATTGCAGGTCCTCAAGCTTGGGCAGCAAGCGCCTCGCCCGCTGAGCCGTCTCTCAGGCCCCAGGCACCCCCATCTCTCACCAGGGTCTCCGCGCTAACTCCTCACTGGGCTCTGTGCCTGGTCTGGCCCCTACAGGCTGTCACCACTCCACAGTCCTGCCACTCAGCTCATGTGCATCATCCTGTTCAAAAGCCTCCCATGGCTCCCTGCTTCCCCAAGGCAACCGTCCAAAGGGAAAAATGGTGCCTTCACATCCCCCTCTCCCACCACCCCCTTCTAGTGCTCAGCATGTCCCCACACTACATGCTCTGGGCCTTTGAACAGACGCTGCCCTTCCCCTTCGCTGCCGCGGGCTAGCATCCTCAATAGTGTGGGTTTGCTCAAGACAGCAGCGGCCTAGCGCTGCCACTAAATAAGCTAACTGTGGTGGTATTGTGTGCCCCAAAATATTGTGCACCCTAATAAACTTATCTGGGGTCAGAGAACAGAACGGCCACTAGATACAGAGGCTAGAAAATGGTGGCCCTCACGCCTTTAATCCTAGCATTCCAGAGGCAGAAATACCTCTGGATCTCTGTGAGTTCAAGGCCACATTGGAAACAGCCAGGCATGGTGACACACGTCTTTAATCCCAAGAAGTGAGCCTTTAATCCCAGGGAGTGATGGCGAAAACAGAAAGATTTATAAGGCGTGAGGACCAGAAACTAGAAGCTTTTGGCTGGTTAAGCTTTTAGGCTTTTAGCAGCAGTTCAGCTGAAATCCATTCAGATGAGGACACAGAGGCTTCCAGTCTGAGGAAACAAGATCAGCTGAGGAACTGGCGAGGTGAGGAAGCTGTGGCTTGTTCTGTCTCTCTGATCTTCCAGCTTTAACCCAATACCTGGCTCCTGAGCTTGTTTTTATTTTTTATTTTTTTAGATTTATTTATTTATTATGTATGCAGTGTTCCACCTGCACATATCCTGCAGGCCAGAAGAGGGCGCCAGATCTCATTACAGATGGCTGTGAGCCACAATGTGGGTGCTGGGAATTGAACTCAGGACCTTAGGAAGAGCAGTCAGTGACCCCAACCTCTGAGCCATCTCTCCAGCCCCAGAGCTTGTTTTTATTAATAAGAACTTTGAAGATTCCTGCTACAGCTAACCCCCTCCAAGGCTGACCACACAGTAGGTACTCTCCGCACTTCATCATTCCGAGTTCTCACCATGACCCCAGCAAAAAGACACCATCACGGTGTCCAGCCCACGGGTGGGGAAATCAAGGGCCCAAAGTGGAGAAGAGAGAGCTACTGACCCCTGCCTACACTGTCCTTCTTCTAGGTAGAGACCTCAGAACTGTCGAACTGGGTCCTAAAAAGTCCCCTCACCCACCAATCGCCACTTGGAATCAGCCCCTTCTACAGCGGTCTCTCTCCCAGGAAGCTTCCGGAAAGCCCCGCTTGTCTAGGGCCCTGGCAACTGGCACCGGGGAGGGTGGAATAGATGAGAAACGGGGGCTGGTTTCCAGGGAAATGAGATCCTGGGGATTTCTCACCCTCCTCAAAGAAAAGAACAAATTATGCAAATTCTTGGGTCCGGGCCCCTGGCCACCCCCCTCAGCTCCCCTCCTCGGCCCCTCCCTGGACTTCTGGGAGGGTTAGGGCTCAGCAGAAAGCGCCCCGGGCTCTCCAGCAGCCGTTTCCTGATTACAGACGAAACTGGGGCTCAGACCCGGTGAATCACCGTGGCGGCCCGCCAGGACACGCTGGGTGCCAGGTAGGGCGCGCGGGACGCTGACGCGCTGCTGGCCTTGCTCCCTTCTGCCATCCAGAGTTGCCACCGTCACAGCGGGTCTTGGCGACGCCATCCAGACAAGGACCCGGCTCTGGGTACGGAAGAGTTTGGGCAATGTCTCCTACCCCGGGTCCAAACCCACGCGTCCCCAGGGAACCTACAGCCCACGTGGCTCGCACACCACCTGCCTGTGACCTGTGTAGGCAGAAGCAGTCACCTCCGGGTTCAAACGCCTTAACGGGCAAAGGGGTTAACAGTCACAGGGTGGGGGGGGACTCGAACCGAGAGCCCTGGTCCAGGTTCAAACGCCAAACTCACTACTCACAGTCCATGGGGTTGTGACCTTTGAGACATTTCTCGGCTTCTGTGGGCCTGTTTCCCCTACAGTAAATGGGAGGGAATGAGTATCCGCAGTTATCTGGGGCTTGTTGAGAGGGAGGTCGGGGTGCCCAGGAAGAAGGCTTCCAGAACTCCCGGGTAAGAAGCTGCTTTATAAAGAGGACATTGCGGGGCTGGCTGGAGAGATCGCTCTGTTGGTACAGTGCTTGCTGCCAGAACTTGAGGTCCAGAGTTTAATCTCCGTTGCTTATGTCAAAAAGCAGGCATTGCAAAAAAAAAAAAAAAAAAAAAAAAAGGCAGGCATTGCAACACTGGTTCCTTTTCCTTTCTTTCTCGTTTGTTTGTTTCTCTAGTTTTGTTTTGTTTTGTTTTGTTTGAGACAGGGTTTCTCTGTGTAGCCCTGCTGTCCTGTCCTGGAACTTGCTCTGTAGACCAGGCTGGCCTCAAACTCAGAGATCCCCCTGCATCTGCTCCCAAGTGCTGGGATAAAAGGCGTGTGCCATCACCGCCTGGCTCGCAACACAGGTTCCTATAATCACAGATTTGGGGAGATGAAGACAGGCGGGTTCCTGGTGCCTGTTAGTGTGCCAGCTAGTCTAACTAATCAGTGCGCCCGGGCTCACAGAGAGACCCTGTCTCAAAACAGAGGTGTGGGGCAAAGCGGCAAATGCTTTTTATTTCAGAGCTCACGAGGCAGAGGCAGGTGGATCTCAGATCTCAGTGAGTTCAAGGCCAGCCTGGTCTACATAGACCGGCCCTATCTAAAAAAAAAAAAAAAATCAGAAAGTGGAAAAATCATTGAGGAAGACATTCTGTGTTGACCTCTGTGCATATACATTCACGTGTATATGGATGTGCACACACACAAAAATTATACATAAATAAATAATAGACAAAATAAGCTACTTAAAAGACTGATTTCACAGGCAGGCGCTTCAGAAGAGGTCCTCGCTGTCATCAGGGAAGAATGTGTCCCACGCCTGTCAGAACTGTCTTGTGGCCTTTGCCTACTCCATCAGAGGGGGTTGGGGGCATGGGCGGGAAGGGAGGTCATGCCTCTGGAGATTCCTTGGCTAGGCAAGCCTGGGAAACCCCACCGAGTGCTGGGTCTCTGCTGGAGGCTTCTCCTGGCTAATCACCTTCCACCCACCTGATAGTTAGCGTGTCTTTGGACCAGAACCAACTTTTCTTCCCTAATAATAATACTCACAACAGGAGTGTGGCGTAAGCACCTGGGGAGCGGGCGCTCAACCGTGAGTTAATCGGCCTCGGAGGCAATGACTTTCTGCTCCATCTTACCGGGGAAGCCAGGAAGGCTAATGACTTGCCCAGTGTCACCCAGCCGGGTGGCACTTTGGCAGAGCCAGAGAACTCCTCAGCGCCTCAGCACAGCCTTTACAAACAGTCCCAGCGCTTGGCCCAGGCTCTTAGCCAGAGCTGGCCTAGGGAGGCTGCTGCTCCTCCCCGGGCAAGTCACAGGTTAAAGGCCCCTCGGTCGCCACCCAGCAACCCACACACACCAGATCCCTGACCTTTCCTTTATCAGGCTCCACACCGCATTCCTGAGGGGCCAAAGAGGGCGTTCTAGAGCATGGGAAGACCAACTCAGAGGAGTTCAACCCCCTCACCGTCTCCACCCACACCCCCAACCCCCCACCCCCGCCTTTTCCTTCTAGGCCGGTCTCCCAACCCCATCACACTGCTAGCATTTCCCTAGAACTGTCATGCCTTCCGCCAGACTGTTTCCTCGACTAGGCTTCAGGAATTCATGGTGAGAAGCTGCCGCCGCCTCTTGCGAGAAGCCCTCCGTGATTGCCCCCTGCTGCTGTGCCAGCTCCCGCCAACACAGCTGCCTCAAAGGCCCACAAAGGTGTGCCCTAAGGGCTGGTTTCTGGGTACTCTGAGCTGGGGTGGGGTGGGGGGGCTGTGGAGAAGAACAGAAGCAAATGGCAGGGGGGGGGGAGGCGGGAAGAGCACTGACTTTTTTCCAGTTAGGTGACAGGTAGTGACAGGGCAAATCCCCTGCTGCCACGGCTGGCCTTTTCTCACCGGGTCCTGACCCTCAGGTCCTGGATCAATACCTGTTGGGTAACCACAGGGAGAGCGGGCTGTGGGGACCTGCAGGGGAGGTGGGCCGGGTTGTTTTCTTCTGCAAGGATGGCCTTTGGTCGTCCCCAGCCCGCTGTCTGTCACCCGTGGGCCCTGGAGCTTCGCCGTGAAGTATATCTGACCACTGTCTCCCAGCAGGTCCCGGACCTTAGACAAGCAATTCCATCCTTCGGGGTAGGGACGTCTCAAAAAAGGTGAGGGAGTCTGAACTAGCCAGGCACTGGCCTTCACCCACCCAAGCCTGGCCTGGCCTGAGCTGAATCTGTTTCCCCCACTCACCCCCACCCCGCTTTCCTCTTCCCAGACCCCCCTTCCTCCAGGCTCCCACGGCTCTACCCTAAAGAAGCTGTGAGGGCCGGAGTTCGAAATCAGCACTTGGGAGAGCCCTGCCTGCAGGCCTAGAGCCCCGGATATTACCCCAGATGCTTAGGTCCTCAACTCCAGCCAGCCATTATTCAAAGACTCCTCACTTCCGATCCCATACGGGGCGTACGGTCTGAGCCTTGCTGGTTGATATTCTGGAGGCCCCTCCCAGGCCGCCAGAGCCAAGGGGCTGCCCCCAAGCCTGTCCAAGGCACCACCCCTGAGGGTCCTTGGGATTCTTGTAAACAGGAAGCCCCTGCTCCCCCCTCACAGACAGCTCCATGTTGTGTGGACACTGGGCTCTGAAAGCCCAGGACTCTTGACCTCTCCGGCTGCGTTTCCTGTTAGCCGGGCTGGAGAGAGGGAGATCGGAATGGTCTGGAGGGGGAGGGGGAGAGGGAGGGTGACAGCTGAGGAAAGCCAGACCCTGCAAGATCCAGAGCACCCCTGCACACAGTAGGTATTCAGTAAAGCTTGGTAAGGAGCCCAAAGCCTGCCCCCCATGCACCCCCACAAAAGAGCAGTACCATTGAAGGGATGGACACTGGGCCACCATGGCCTGGCAGCCCTGGTGGCCTGGTCCCCAAGGCTCAGCATCCCCCCCCCATTGTCCCTGTCTGGCCCCGCCCCAGCTCTGGCAGCCTGAGCCAGGCCACTGTCTCAAGGCCCTTTATTTTTAAAATCCCTGTGGTGTTCCTGCCTGAGCCTAAGGAGCAATGCCAGCCACAGCGAGCCTGCGGCCTGGGCTCCGGCCCAGAGGCACCGGGCGGGGCATCCGGCCACCCTGCAGCTGCTGGGCAATTCTGGGAGGGCTTTGAGGCCAGCTGCCCTGCTGAGGAAGCCCTGGAATGCCCAGACTTCAGGCCTGAGGCACTAGCCCTTGTCCTGAGTGGAGGAACGGGGGGCCCACGAGGGTGGCAACCAGACCGTCCCCTGAATCCAGCGGCACGGTCTCCCCATACCAACCCTACTGAGGGAAGAAAGGGGGCATATGTCGGCCCTGTGCGGGCAATAGCAGTGAGGTGTAGTCTCTCTTCCCGGAAGCCTTCTCTTCTAGTCTGGAAGGGGTCTCAGACTAGAACCCAAGGAGCCCAGCCCAGGCCCAGCTCCATCTCTTCCCAGCGGGTTGGCCTTGGGAGAATCACCCACCATCTCTGGGACCTCAGTTGCTCTCCTGTAACGGGAGAGGATAAAAGGCATCGTGGAAAGCTGTGGTCACCCCCAGACGCTGCGGGATCAAGACATTCACAGTCCCTTCTGTCATGGAGCCGGGGGTGTGGGGGGCGGGGGGGGGGGTCATTGTATAGTAGTCTCTAAGGACAGAGCAGGGACATAAAGGTTCGTGATGGGCCGCGGGGGAGTTCATTGAGATCTGAGGTCTCTCAGGGCTCTGCGTGAGCTGGTGACCTTTCTGTCATGTCAGGAACAAGCACCGAGCACCATAGGCAGAATGGCAGGTGCAAAGGCCCTGGGGCAGAAGGAGGTGGGCGTGGCCGACACAGAGGCCATGGAGGGGCTCTGACCTGGAGGGAGCTGTTATTATGGCTGTCCCTAGAAGAAGCTGGAGCAGGCCGAGTGTCAGACAGACTCGGGTACACTCTCTGGGCTGCCCCTGTGTCCCTTCTCCTTCGTTCACTGCGTGAAGAAGGCCAGGCTGGTGGGCCAGCCAATGTGTGGCGTCCCCTTGATCTACAGAGGGTGCTCACTCCGACCCGACTTGTCCTTACCTTTGATCCTCCCAGAAGGGAGGTAAAGCAAGGAGGGCTGGTTGCTATATTCTCATTTGGCAGGTGGGGAAACTGAGGCAGGAGGGGCAGAAGAGTGATGGTGACTTCCCCAAATTACCTACTTCCATCGTGGCCACGCTCAGCCACGGGAGCAAGTGGATCGATCAGTCAGTCCTCAGGCTAACCCGTTCACCCCAGGCCAGCCCGCTTATCCTGTGGCAGCCCTTGGTGTACCCAGCCTTTGGCTCTCTGGAAAGCATTTCCTGCCTCATCCCACCCTTCACCCCAACATCTACAAACCCCTGAGGCCTCCCCAGCCCACAGTCTCCACCAGGAGGTGCCAGCCACTCTTCCCCACCCCCTACCCCGCCGCCGGCGGCTCTGGCAGGCTAAGAATGTGGCCTGAGCCTCCCTCCCGTGGGGGCTCCGGCCAGCGAGCCTTGGCAGGAGAGCTCGCTGAGTCAACACAAGGCTAGCTGGAGCTCACGCTGCCCACCAAGGCAGCCTTAGAGACCCAGAAGGAAGGACTGCCCGCTCCCACCCTCCTCCCTCCCTACGAGACTCCCCCTCCTGCTCCCTGCTCCAGCTAACAGGGTTAACCCTTGAGGGCCTGCTGTCCACTAGCTGGTCCATGCCCCCGCTGAGAGGTGCTGTGGGACCTCAGGCAAGTCACAACCCCACTCTGGGCCACTCGCCTCACCCGTGAGAGACTCATCCTTGTGGGAGTCTCGATGGTTTCACAAAGGGTTCTCGACACATAAAACCCACAGAAGCTGCGCGTTCCCCTCGGCCAGATGGGAGTGTGAGTTCCTGAGTTCAAAGGCAACGGCTTTGCTCTCTTGCATCCCCTGACCTGGTGCTTAATGAGTCTGTTGTGCCTGTGCCGCGACAGTGAAGTCCATGACAAGACTCGAAGCCTGGGCGGCTGCGGTTACCGTGAGGCACACCCCAGCCTGCGTTTGTAAAACAGCTTTCCCAGGCTGCTGCTTTGATGGTAGGCATTATTCGTCCCATTTTACAGACAAACAAACTGAGGCAAGGGAGGGTAAGAAGCTTGCCCAAGAGTCCCAGCTGGGACTAGCTGGAGCCAGGCCTTCGGACACTTGAAAGGAACGTCAGAGTCATCTCTGTGTGTGGCAGTTGAGGTGGAGGGCGGGACAGCGAGCAGAAGAAGGGGTGGGGTTGAACTCTGCTGTTTCAGGGAGACACCTTGCCTTTTTGGAGTTGCCCTCTCAGGAAAGTGGTGAGCTCCCTGCCACCCAAAGGATGTGTGTAACAGACATCCATCAGACATGCTCAGCGACTCCTGCCCCAGGACGTGGGTACCACACGTGGGGACTCCTTCCAACACTGGATGACTAGCAGGGAGAGGGTGAGGACTGTGTGTGTGAGAGATCTTGGAGCCTTTCATGTGCTGTGAGGAACCACAGACCCATTTTCCAGGGCGGTGTTCGCACTGCCCAGGAATGTGAGGCAGAAGAGGAAGTCTCCGCGTGCCCTCCGCTCCGTGCCTTCACCGGACAATGGGCTGGGAGGATAAAAAAGAAAGAACGCAGACAGACAGCCCGCCAGCCCCGCGCAGCAGGGTCCAGCCCCGACCATCCTCCTTCCATCTTCGGCAAAGAGAACAGGAAGCCAGGAGCCAGCCAGCCTGGTGGGGGTGGAGGCAGGGGCTGGGGTGTCTCTGGCTGAACCAGGGGCTGGGCCAAGAGTGCCACCGGGATCTGTTCCTGGACTTGAAACCGTCAACTCCACAGGCAAGAGCCCACGGGAAGGGTGAAGAAGCCTCCGCTAGCATGTCTTGGGCCAGGCTGCAAGGACCAACCTTGGTGATGATCAGGGCCCATGCCTGGCCCACAGCCCAAGGGCCTATCTCTCCAGCCAGGCTGAACCATAGAGAATAGGCTATTGTTTGTCCTACTCTTAACGTGTTTCCTGTCCCCCAGCCCCTCCCCTCCCACCCACCCCCTCAAGTAAAGAACAAAGGTCTCCTGGATGTGGACCCCTCCCCACCCTTCCATCCTGGGCCTGGCCAGCTTGGAAGTATTCAGTCCCATCACCCAGGGGACAATGGGTCACCTGGCCCTGACCCCTTCTGATGTCCTTCCCACCCTCTGGGACTGTAGGCGCCTCAGACCTCCCCCCCACCCCACCATGTTCCCCTGTGTCCATCCATCTATCTGTCCTCCTCAGGGTGGGGCCAAGGAACCAGCCTCACATCCTTCCTCAGCCCCCTGCCCCCACCCCAGGTCTTGTTCTCCTAGAGAAAGAGAACCGGTGGGGGGGGGGAGTCCTTCTCCACCCCCATTTCCCTGTGGACCAGGGAGCTAGGAACCAGAGCTGAGCCGCCCAGAAGGCTCCTCGAGAGAAAACGCATCCAAGCTCTTGCCCTTTTCCCAGAGCCTGGAATTCCAGAGGCGTTTCCGGCATGACAGCTGCGTCTGAGCTGCGCTCTGTGGGCCTCTAGCTCCACACTCCATGAAACCCTTGGGATTAACTCCTGTCTTGGCCCCGTGGTGGCTCTCAAGAACCCCTTCACACCCAGGCTTGAGAAGCAGCTAGGAGAGACAGACAGGCACTCATCTGCGGTCACCAGCCTCCCCCTCTCCCCCCCCACCACCACCCTGCAGCTCTGAGGTGTCAGTCCTCAGATAATGCTTCATAGCGGTGGCCACATGCCACACACACACATGCCACACATACGCCTGGTATGTGCCCAGCCTGGTTTTCGGGCTTCTAGCTTGCACAGCTTCCTAAACCTGTATCCATAGAGCCTCTTCCTCCTCCAGGAAGCCTTCCTGGAATTGTAACAGCTCCCTGTGACCCTACTGTCAGGCTGCTTTTATAGTCCCTTTGGAGCAAGAAGGTACAGCTCACATTAAAAGCCACCCTGGTGTGTGTGGTAGTAGCCCAGGGTTTCCCCTTGCTTTGTAGCCCTAACAGGGCCTATCCTCTGTCATCAGTGTCCCCAGTAGTCTACTGTGGACCCCAAGACTCCCCACCAAGGTGATTCTTGGGGTTCTTGGACAGGAGAGAAAAAAGAAGAGGTCAAAGATTCCTTCCAGAAAGTCCCAGAAGGCCTCCTAGCTCTCAGAACAGCTCCAGCCTTCAAGGTCGGCAAGGGAATGAAAAACACCAACAGTTAATAGAGGAACCCGAGTCACCCCAGGGCCAGGTGTCTTAGGTGCACAATCCAGCCTGGCCTATGTCACACTGGGGGGGCGGGGGGGCAGGGCATTAGCCTCTCTCTCCATGCCTCAGTACCTCTCTCCTCTCCATCCTCCGCGGTAGGTAAGGCAGACAAGCAGCTCATCTTCTAACTGGCCGGGTCACAAACATCCTCAGGTGTGCCCAAGCTCACCGCCACCTCTTGGCTTTCCCAAACCCAGCTCCATCTCCCCCAAGAATCCTCCCCGCCAGTGTCTCGCTTTGCTGATTCCTTTGACCAGGATTTTAGACTCTGGTCTTCCTCAGTGAGGCTCTACCCCCAGGGAAAGCAGCTACTACCCACCCTTCCCCGACAGTCCCCACAAGTCCTAGCCCAGGGCTGCTGCCAGCAGCTCTTCCCTTGGCACACACAGGTTGAACTTGACCCTTGGGGAAAGGTAAATGACCACGGCAGCCACCTTTCCCTGGCCGCAACCGCAGGACCAGCTGTGACGTCCATACTTTGTCCAACTGAGGCCCGGACTCAAGGTCACACTGCCAGTGGCAGGCAACGCTGAGATATGAACCTGACTTTGCCTGCCTTAGAAATGCATTCCAGGGCAGGGGCTGGGGAGATGACGCGAGTTAGGAACCCTGCTGCTCTTCCAGAGGATCCAGGTTTGATTCCCAGCACCACACAATGCCTCACAGCCATCTGTAACTCCAGTTCCAGGGGATTCAACATCCTCTTCTGGACTCGGCAGTTACCAAGCACACACATGGTGCACAGATGTACAGGGAGGCAAAACACCTATACACATAAAATTTTTTAAAAAATCAAATAGTTAAAACAAAAAAGGAAGGAAAGAAGGAAGGAAGGAAATGTATCCTGGGGCTGGGCATAGTGGCACATGCCTTTAATCCCAGCAAGTGTGAGTTCAAGGCTAGCCTGGTCTACATAGTAAGTTCCAGGCCAGCCAACACTGTATAGTGAGACCTTGTCTTAGGAAGGAAAAAAAAAAAAAAGTATCCTAGATTTTAAAAGGGAGAGCATGGGGTGCAGCCACCCCTTGGCCTCAGGCCGTATCCCCTAGATATAATGACATCTCACAGCACAAAACTCTTGGGGCCCCCAAAATGTTGCCCCCTCCCTCTGAGGTGTCCATGCAGGTCTGAGCCCTGTGGGAATCTAGTCCCTGAGAAGCAGAGGCCTGCCTTCATGAGGTTGTGTCCAGGTGAAAGGATGATGACCCTTTACTTGTGACAACCCTGGACATTGCCCAAACATGCCAAGAGTACCTACCAAGTAGGCATCTCATCGAGCGCTGCCTGGCAAATAGATGCCCAGATGGAGGCCAGACCATAGGCAATCTAGCTTGAGAGATGGCCTCTGGAGGGCCTGAGTGGCCCATCAGTGGGCATGGCTGTGTGTGTGTGTGTGTGTGTGTGTGTGTGTGTGTGTGTGTGTACGCGGGCGTGCGCGCACTGGCTCAGAGATGTGGTCACCAGCAGAAGCCAAGAGCAGGTCTGTGTAAGGGAGTCACCAGATGGAAAGAAAAATGAATAGTTGAGTGTGAGGATACAAACTGGGTGGGTGAACAGGTAATGGTCAGGGATGCAGGCGGGAAGAGAGAGCGGATGTCTGAGGAACAGAAGCATCCGTGGATGGGGAGGGGGAGGGGGAGTGGTAAGTGACTGGATGACTGGTGTAGGTTTAGATCAACAGATGGGTAGGTGGGTGGGTGGGTGGGTGGGTAAATGGATGGGTGGAAGTGAGGAGGTGGGTGGGAGGGGATAGGCATCTAGGCAGCTGGATTAACGGGCCTGTGCAGCTGTGGGTGGATGGACTGGGAAGACGGGGCCAATGAGCAGAGGAATAAACTGGCCAGCAAGCCAGACTTTGGAGTTCAAGGAAGCATGCTGCCCAGGAAGGGCTGATAGCTGTAGCCAAGCCCACTCACCCAGCCCAAGATTCTCTGCTCACTGGACTTCACACAAGGTTGCCCCAAGTGGGAAGCACCCCATCTCAGCCTGTATCCTCGACACCTCCTCAGAAATACCTCCTTCCCATTAACCTCCTTCCCAGCCCTAGTCTGTAAGGGTCAAGTCAGGGCAGCTGAGACCTGGGAGGATACAGGCCTAGGGCTTGGTTTGCAGGAGAATCCCAGGCAACCGGTGTCAGCGGCAGCTCCCCTTCCTTCCCCAGCTGGGAGTCATTTGCTCTGCATCCCGCACGGTAATTAGGGCTCTGGCGAGGTTAACCCCTGCACTCCTGGCACAGCCTGGGAGGCGGGCAGGGGACGTCAGAAAATCAGAAGAGCAAGACATGAGAAGCGGGGGGGCGGGGCTCACCCCTGGATCCTAGCGCTCTTCTCTTCCTTCCATTTTCCAGAGGAAACCGAGTCCGATCCTTAAATCAGGCGTGGAGCCTGGAGCAGGGATCGCAGCCTACATGGAGATAGACTTCTCCAGAGACAACCTACAAACGTGAGCAAGGGCTCGGTTCAACCCTCTGTACACTGGGACAAGAGTGTCTGCCTAGAAGATTGCCACACAGCCAGCTGGGAGAGAGGGAGCATCTGGAATCTGGTCTAGGGGTTGGGAGGTTCTGAACCACTGAGCCAGGGTACAGAGGATGGTGCAAGAGTCGAACAGAGGGTAATCACATGCACCCAAACCGCTTTCTCAGTTGGGTGTGGTAGTGCAAGCCTTTACTCCTAAGGCAGAGGCAGAGGCAGACAGATCTCTGTGAGTTCAAGGCCAGCCTGGTCTACATCATGAGTTCCAGGCCAGCCAGGGCTACACAGGGGGATGCTGTCTCAATAAACAAAACAAAGACAGCTTTCTGGGCCGTCTCTCTGGGCTTGCAACACACCCTCAGGTATGGTAAATGCCTGCCCTGGAGCTAGACCCGTTTTTAAAGTGAAGCCTGCACTATGCTCACAGGCAGCCTTGAACTCAGTCTGGGTCTTTGACGCTCAGCCAAATAGCTTCCTTTCTGAGCTGCTCCGGGAACCCTGGCTGGAGGGATGGGTGGCTCTCCAGCCAGGCAGACTACCTTTGAGAGCAAAAGCCAGTGGTATTGGTAATCAAGCTGGGACACTGGTGCTCTTGACAAACAGGAAATGTGGTCACCCTGCCAAGCAGGAGGCCCTGGACAAGTCAGTTCACTTTTCTGAAAAAACGGACATAACGACACAGTTGTTCCCGGAGAGCTCTCCCCGAGATTAAAGGTGATTATGCACGGTATGCATTAGGCGCTCAATAAAAGCTGAGAGATTCGTAATTGTCTCTATGCACGCATAGACACCTGGCCAGGGTTAAGTACCCAGGCCCTGGCCCAGTTCTGTACTACAGTAGTGTTCCAGCCACCTCACCCATGTGCCTCAGTGCCTCTGAGTCTTGGGGACACCATTCTCAACTTCCCTGGGGTGCCCCGGGGGAAAGATCCCGAGCCACCTGTATCCCAGCCTTATCTACATACCACTGGGGCAAGTACTGTATGCTTTGTGCCTCTGTGCCTTCACCTGTCCTGCTGGAAAAATGACCTCACCGCAGGAGGCTCGGGTGAGGATTGAGAGCCAACTGTGGAGGCACGGCCCTCTATGACCGCTTGTCTCCTCTATCCACCTCTCTTTATGGCTCCTCACCCCTGCAGGGACCGTGCCGCCCAGCTCCCGCCCTGCCTCATAGCTCAAAGCCTTTGGCCACAGTCTGTCCAGCGTGAACTCCTAGGCTCTCCTCCGCTCGGTCTGTTTAAGTCTCACCCGGCTTTCCTCTCTTCCAGAGAACCTCGCTCAACCTCCCACTCTCGGACAGCTTTAGGGACCTGTTTGTGCCGTGTGCAGCCCCCCAGGATTCCTGTCCGACCTCAGAGGAAAGAAGAGGGTACAACATGATGTAGGGGGCCAGGATCTGTCTTCTCTTCTTGAGCATGGCTGACTTGGTGTCTCCTTTGAAGTAGGGGGGGGGCACTAAAGATTTCTAAGGTGTGACCTCATTTACCTGTTCAACAACTCTCCTAGTTGGTAGAGCAGGCAACAGGAGATAA